TCATAATTTCTGATCCGCTTGAATATGTGCTCACGCTGAGTAATGTGAGCATATGAGCATGAGAAATTAGGGTGAACTGAACTGGCTGAGATCAAGCTATGTTCATTTTATAAAAAATAAAAAAAAAATGTTAGCTTTCTGATATTCCTTGCTAATCAGACTCCTTTATCTTGAATAAAGTGTTACACTTAAATATCATTGAGTACATTAATGATATCTGCCTTGTTCTGTTCTGTTAACCCTGGGGGGGTTATTATTGCTGCTCTCCCTGCTCATTCATGACAGGCTACATGGATGGGCAGGGAGGTTTTTTGCCCAGAACAGAACCATACCGCCAAACCAAACTTTATGCTAAGTATCTATCATTTTGACGATAGTGGTCCTGACAGAACTGTAATTCACCAGAAGGTTTTTTTTCCATGTTCCACAGGTTGTTGTACGTTGCTAGTTACAAGACTGACTTACTTCATGTGAAATTTTGCCAAATCTCCCTTACTGTATGAACCATTCACAATTATTTAAAACAAAAAAATCTGTAAGACCCCAAAAGGGATTTTTCATGTTCCAAAGGTTATAGTATAAAATAGTGATGTACTTTATGTACAGTAAGGGAGGTATTCGCAAAATTTCACCTATTATGTCAGTCTAGTCACTAGGAATGTACTACAACCTTTGAAACATAAAAAAAACTTTATATGAATTACAGTAATTTCTTAAGATATACTGTATATACATTGAGGAAGATATTGGCAAAATTTCAACTGTAGTAAGTCAGTCTGGTCACTAGTAACATACAACATTTGGAACACGAAAAAACCCCATTTTGGTGAATTACTGTAATTTTTTTCTTGAAAGATATTTGTGTAGGGTACATACTTAGTGAAAGGCGAGTTATTGGCAATATATATGTAATCAGTTTGAGTAAATTAGTGGTCCTGACAGAAATTAAGCTTTAGCGTTAGTTCTGGCAGGTCACGTGAGTCAAGCTTGCATCAGCTGATTCTCAGCTGATCACATCTACCTATAGGAATACGACACCTATCGCGGCATTCCTATATAAGCTGTATTCAGTATTATTCAGCAGCTTTTCAGCTTGCTTCGGAGCAAATTACCCTCCTCCATCCCCAGCTCCACCTTTTGCCACAGTCAGGACTTAGCTTTCTGATATTCCTTGCTAATCAGACTCCTTTATCTTGAATAAAGTGTTACACTTAAATATCATTGAGTACATTAATGATATCTGCCTTGTTCTGTTCTGTTAACCCTGGGGGGGTTATTATTGCTGCTCTCCCTGCTCATTCATGACAGGCTACATGGATGGGCAGGGAGGTTTTTTGCCCAGAACAGAACCATACCGCCAAACCAAACTTTATGCTAAGTATCTATCATTTTGACGATAGTGGTCCTGACAGAACTGTAATTCACCAGAAGGTTTTTTTTCCATGTTCCACAGGTTGTTGTACGTTGCTAGTTACAAGACTGACTTACTTCATGTGAAATTTTGCCAAATCTCCCTTACTGTATGAACCATTCACAATTATTTAAAACAAAAAAATCTGTAAGACCCCAAAAGGGATTTTTCATGTTCCAAAGGTTATAGTATAAAATAGTGATGTACTTTATGTACAGTAAGGGAGGTATTCGCAAAATTTCACCTATTATGTCAGTCTAGTCACTAGGAATGTACTACAACCTTTGAAACATAAAAAAAACTTTATATGAATTACAGTAATTTCTTAAGATATACTGTATATACATTGAGGAAGATATTGGCAAAATTTCAACTGTAGTAAGTCAGTCTGGTCACTAGTAACATACAACATTTGGAACACGAAAAAACCCCATTTTGGTGAATTACTGTAATTTTTTTCTTGAAAGATATTTGTGTAGGGTACATACTTAGTGAAAGGCGAGTTATTGGCAAT